CAAGATCATTGTTTACATTATTCATTTTCTTCGAAAAGCCAACAACAGGTGTTGTATAAGTCATACAACATCAATAGGTATTGAGAAATTCGTTGTTTTGAATCACTAAAGTGGGCACGCAGTCTCGCTTCTCTTCAAGTCTTAGGTCTCTACATACCTCTACATACCATGCTCCCCCAGATATTTCCATCTTTTCTAAAGATAGTGTATCTTCAAATATCTTATTTTGCGTTTAATCCATTAAAATCTCATATGGCACTTTAAGCACCACCTTAACATCTTTGAAACTGACTACGCTATTTTCCTATCGAAACATTAAAAGGTCTAGGAATTTAGCTATTTCTCTGCTTAGGGGTATCATTGTTGTAACCGTTGTACTCCTCCAACGGTCTTTATCTCACTCTTAATAAAGAGTATCTTTCTTAATTGCTCTTTATCTCACTCTTAATGAAGAGTATTTTTCTTAATTGATCTTAATATTCTACCCCTCGAAATATGGCATGAACTTTACTGCCATAATTTTGAGAAGTATTTAGAAAAACTGTGAACGAGGAGACACTTATAACTTACTTCATTCACATGATTACGTCATACAAACAAAGTTATTTCTTGATCTGTATAGGAGTACACTTTCTTCATTCCACTTCAAGAACTCATCGAGGTCTTTTATTAGCAATACTTTTATAAGTCACGCTTGCATTTTTTTCTTATCTTTTGGTTAGTATTGACCATGACGGTGCATTTCTATTATGCCATGGTCAATAGTAGGATAGCATAAGAGCTACCCAAACTTCTCTCGCTATGCGAGATACAATAACGTATGAGTCAACACAAAAACTTCTCACGTCATGCAGGATGGACTAGCATAAGTACTATGCCAAACTTCTCCCCATGTGGGATAAATCTATATACAAGTTATCGTAACAAAAAATTTAGTCATGATGACTAAAACATTCACTTATACTTTATTTTCCAATTAAATCTTTTCGTTGGTTCTAATTTAATCAGAAAATTAGTAAACTAATAAAAACTGTCCTGAACTGGCTTGACTCAAGCCTTTTCATTCACATACCCCAACACTGCAGCCCGTTGGCATGCAGCCGAGTGATCTCGTCAGTTAAAATAAAACATATAATATGCTTCTACATCAATTCTACATCACTGTTGGGCTGAAAATAGAATTAATGCATAAAACTTATAAATTAACTTGAAATCCATATAACTACTCTTCAAAATTAAATTCTCTCGTTGGTTCGAATTTAATTGAAAGATAATCAACATCATTGCAGCGAAAACTTATTAATGAAATACATTCTTTTAGTTCAGGGGCATTTATTGGTCCTTATCAACTCTCTGAAAGTTCACCACGTTGGTGTAAAATTTTCCAGAGATTTAAACTTTAAACTTAAATTCGTTATAATATTGTCATCATCAACGTTGGTAAGAAAATGACAATACCATAATCTTACTTAAACAATAAAAAATCGACTACTCCTCTAATTAAATTTTCCCATTGGTCCAATTTAATTAAAGGATAAACATAATCTTAGTTCACTAAATATAGCTGCTCTTTGAATTAAATTCTCCCGTTGGTTCGAATTTAATTAGAAGATAATAAACATTAAACTTTGCAGCGAAAACATGAAAATTTCTTTATCTACTTTTTACAAGTATTTTAATTTACTCATCTACTCTCTGAAAAAATTATCTTGTTGGTTCAAATTTTGACAGAGATTCAAAACTTGACAAAATTGATCGAAATTTGCTTCTGAAAATTGTCAAAATTGCTTCTGAAAATAAATAAAAAATTTAAAACATTAGCAACTGTTTATTTGGCCCGGCCTATGGAAAACCAACACGCGGCCCAGCCCAACCGTAGCAGCGCGCGGCCCACTCAGCGAAATCGGCCCACGCCGATCGTGCGTGCCGCCCTCCATCGCGCCCAGGCCGCAACCTAGACCTGGGCCGAGAATTCGGCCCACAGCATGGGCCCCGCACCACTCCACCTGGCCCAGCTGTCGGCCCAGCGAGCTCTGGCCGTTGATGTCAAATTCGACGGCGGGGCGTTGATCTCGGCGGAACAAAACCCCACGGCGCCGGCCTCTCCCCGAACCCTAATCTCATTTCTTCCTCTCCCTTCTCTCTCTCGCGCTGCGTCCTCTCTCTCGCGCCGCACAAGTGTCAGCGGCGGCAGCCATGGTGGCCGTCGACGTCGGTGAGGAAGGCAGCCACCGGAGCAAGTCCGGCTCCCCCTCCTCCTCTTCCTTTCTCTTCCCTTTCCCCTTCTCTTCCTCAGCGCCGTAGTCAAAAAACGACCACGACGCCACGACAACCCGTGGCGGCCGGAGAAAAGGAAGGTGGTGGCGCGGCTACAGGGCCCCTCGTCGGTGCGCACACTCGCCCTAGGCTGAGTGTGCCGCCGTCGAGCGGCCTTGCGGTTGCGCCTTGACCCTGAAGCCCGAGGCGTAGGCCACGCGGTGGCGTGACCCCCCGGTCGACGGCTCGGATCTTCTTTGCCCGCGCTGGCGGATACGACGGCGAGGTCTACTTCCCGCGCTACGACGGTGGTGTCTGCAGCGAAAGAGCCCAGGTAGGTACCCTCACCGCTCCGTCCTTCTTCTGCTAGGGTTAGGTCTTAGGGTTCGGGTTTGGCCAGACCCACTGTTCATCTTCCGCGCCTACTCTACGCGGGTTAGGGTTTGAGTTCATCTCGAAACCGAGACCCCTTTCCTCTTTCTTTTCTTCACCCGATTAGGGTTAGGGTTAGGGTTAAAACCGATCTGCATTCTTTCGATTTGTCCATCTTCTTTCTAAAATCGTTCTTCTTTTCTACCCAACACTCGATCTACACACTAAATGGCCTGGCTCTGGTACCATTGATAGATCATAGTACCTCTAAAACGATGATCAGGGGATAATCTTGACTTAGATGGGGTAACTTGTTCCTGTACCTCGCCCTAGCGCAGTTGCGTCCATGGCGCCACTGCGACGTGGACGCCGGTGTCGTGGCAGCGTAGGCACGGTGGAGTCCAGAGGGCGGGGCGATGCAAAGGCGACGGTGACGTCGGTGGCGGCTTCCCGTCGCTGGCAGCACCCTCTCTCTGGATCGGTTAGTGTTAGGAAATCATCGGTGGGGCGCCGGGTAGCTCAGGGGAACCTCGTACCTTGTGCCCCGGCCCCCACCTCCCTTTTATGGTGCTGTGCGACGGGAGCCCACCAACCATGAAGCGGTTGGACGCCCCCGATTAGAGCGCGGATCCAAGGAGTTGGAGATCAAACTAGCAACGAGGAGTTCCATAGAGTCGAGGGACCGTGCACACCCCGCCGGGACCAAAGAGCGCGCGCTGAACCACCAAGGGCGTAGGTCGTCGTCGGCCGCAGGAGCCAGGTGTTGAAGGTGTACATATTGCAGGGTGCGCCACCAGACCTCGGTGGTTTCCGGAGCTTGGCCGCAGAGAGCGCAAACATCGGAATCTTGCAGGCCTTGGCGAGGTCGACCTTGAGCAGGACGCACGGCACTTGGCGGACGTAGGGCCAACGGCAAGTCAGCTGGACGGACCGGAAGTTGTCTTGGATGCGGCGTCCTTTGATGAAAGCTGTCTGGTCGGCTCTGATGAGTTCACTGATGTGCGGTGCCAGACGGTTTGCTAGGCACTTGGAGAACAGCTTGCTCACGCTGTGGATGAAACTTATGGGCCTGTAGTCGTCCTTGAGGCCGCTGGGGGCAGAAGTCTTGGGGATCAGGGTCATTATGGCGCCGTTAATGTGGTGGAAGCTACGCCAGTCTTGATCCCAAAGGGCGGCAAACAAGTTGACAACGTCCGCCTTGATGTTGTCCCTAACTACACAGCGACGGGCTCGGCTGTTATGTTAAGCCCACGCACATTCCAGATGAGGAGATGTTCACTCATTGGGAACGGGGTTAGCGACGGACGCGCAGTGACATGGGCTGGCGTCCAGGCCTGCGAATCGTGGGCCAAGGCCACCCAGAGCGCAGCTCCAGAAGGAGAGGACGGCGCGGCAGGGACCTGGTGCGTAACGCGCTCAGCGGCCAGCGCAGGAGATTCCGTTGTGATGCACAACGGGTCGATCCACTCCGGAGTACCTGGGTGCTGACAGTGTACTGCGACTGGGGGTGGTTGTCCTCGAGTGCTTCCTTCCCGGGCGGAGGAGGCGCTCAGGAGGCGTTGTACTGTGGAGATCTGAAGCATCATTAGCAGTAGGCAGATTTTTAGCGTTACTAATCCCATCAGGAGATAATGGATAGCCCTGACTGAGCAGATCCTGAAGCATCATTTGACGGTTTCACATTTTGGAAACTTTCAAAACTTAAAAAAAAATCAAATCTATTTGCTTTAGCATTTTATTTTTTATTCCATTTATTTAGACAGAGAAGAGAGAATTTAGAAAAATGAGTGAGGCCCTGTTTGGATCAAATTCTCAAGGAAACTTTGAAGGAATATCTTCTAAAGGAAATGAATCACATTATAGTGTTTGGAATATGAAGGAGAGTTGAATTCCTTTCTTATCTTAAAGAAAAGAAAAGCAGAAAACGTAGGAAGTAAAATCTCCGCTCCAACCCAAGGGAAAGAATCTAGGAGGACAGACGATGGTCGATGGGAGCAAACCAAACAGTCCCGTGGTAAGTAGTAATATACTCGGATCATGCGTGACACAAATTAGTAAACACTAGGGACAGACGATGTTCATTCGATGGGAGCAAAAAAAGGAAAAGAAAGAGTGGAACAACGTACGACACAAGTACATAGGATATATATATATATATATAGCACATGACATCACATTACACATTACAGACGACACGTACGTGTAGACCGACGTACGACCAATATAATGGATGGATCGACTACGACCGTACGTACCATGCATGGCTTATTAATACGTAGTACATACATATGCGCATGTATATAACTAGCTAGCTAGTTGCTGCATGCATGCATGCGTTGGAGCCTGCTGCTGCATGCTAGCTGTGTACGTAGCTAGCAAAGGTCGATTTGCATCTCCTTGTTGTTGGGGCCAAGCCAGGTGCCCCCGACGCCATCCGACCCCTTCCGCCCGTTATAAAACGTGACGGCCTCGACGGGGGGACCGTCACCGCCGGTGACGACGACCTCGAGCCAGGACATGAGCCAGTCGGCCTGCCAGCCCGCGCCGTCGGTGCTGATCACGAGGACGCACGGTTGGCTGATGCACGGGCCGTCGAAGTTTAGTACGTCTTCACTGTTGGACTCGAACATCGGCCATCCTGAGCCATCCTGGCTCACATGGACGCCCGTGCCGTAATGGTCCCACACGTAGAAGGTGAGGGTTGAGTCGGTGCCGGACGCCAAAACCCACCCGGACGTCCTCACCGTGAATTGGTAATGGCAATAATCGTCGTTCATCTTGCTGCTGCTGCTCTTGTTCTTGTTGTCGTTGACCACCATCTGCATGCCAATGCAAGCATGCATATATTATTTTATTTTATTTCATTTAATTTAATTGTAGCAACACATGAATGCATTTATTAATTAGATAGGAGTAATAATCATCGATCCATGCATCATCCGGCCCATCGATCCTACCTCGATGTGGGGTTCCACCGCCGCCGCCGCCGACTGCAGCAGCAGGGAGGCCATCACCATGACGACGACGACCGGTAGTGGAGGGAGCCTGCTCCTGCTCCTGGCCATGGCTATCGAATTGAACGGAATTTCTTGCCTGTGGATCGACCGGATGGATCCTGAGCTGAGCGAGAGAGGTGATCCGGATGCATGTATTTATAGCTAGCGCGCGTACGTCTTAATTATTTTAACATTAGCATATATGCTGCCAAGGCCCAACGACCGCCCAAGATCAGTGTGTGTGTGTATATAAATGTGTGTGACGACTAATGATACGATATTAATTATTATTATGCATGGATCACGAGGAGTATATATTATGCATGCATCTTCTTACAAAATGAACAAGAACAGGTGAGATCGTCACATCGCCTGCTACTTATCTTGATCCATGTATTATTATTGGTCGGTAATAAATAATCATCCACAATTATTGGTCTATTTCTTAGGCTAGGTTTTGGTCGTGCATGCTGCCGGTGTACTGCTACGCACCTGTTTGCTTTGCTAAACCATAACACATCACTTCTTACGTCTAACTTAGGCCCCGTTTACTTCCGAAAATTTTTGGCTTTCGGCTACTGTAGCGCTTTCGTTTTTATTTGGCAAAAATTATCCAATTATGGACTAATTAGGCTTAAAAGATTCGTCTCACGATTTCTCGGCTATCTGTGCAATTAGTTTTTTTTTCGTCTACATTTAGTACTCCATACATGTGCCGCAAGATTTGATGTGACGGGTACTATACAAAAAATTTTGGTTTTTGGCTTCAACTAAACGGGTCCTTACCGTGGTGACTGTTTGGTGAGCTGCCACAAGTACTTGCGGCGTGCCACAAGTACTCGTGGTAGTAGCCTTTCATTAATCAACATATGTCGCATAAAAAGAAGCTGGATAGGTCCAAATCAACATTAGTAGAGAACAGATCTTTGATCCTTGGTTAAAATGGGCTCTAGTCCTAGTATTTTTTGCGCTCGGGACTAGAGATACCTTTAGTTCCGGTTGGTGGCTCCAACCGGGACTAAAGGTCCCTGCCCAACGGCTACTGCGCCAGACAGAGGTGGCAGGGACCTTTAGTCCCGGTTGAAGCCACCAACCGGGACTAAAGATATACTTTTACTCTTGGTTGGTGGCTCCAACAGGGAGTAAAGGTCTACTCCCGGGCCGTGGCTGCGCCCGGGGTTGAAAAGTTACCTTTTGTCCCGGTTGGAGCCACCAACCGGGACTAAAGGCCCCCCTCTTTATATCCCGGCCGTCTCCTTCCTCCTCCCTGAGCCTGAGCTCAGCACATTTTGAAGCTCACTGCACTAGTGTTCTTGCTTCCTCCCTCCCTTCATTGTTCCTCCATCCATTCTTCGATTCCTCCGTCGATTTCTTCGATTCCTCCGTCGATTTCTTCGATTCCTCCATCGATTCTTCAGTTGTAAAGGTTACCAATCTCATACTCTCATTTTTCACCATTGTCTTATCTTATTTTGTTCACTATATATATGGTTATTTATTGTGTTTTTTTTCATTTGTAAGCAATTTGAGCTCAAAATCACTTCAAGCTTGCATATTTACATGAAAGAAGGTTAAAGTAGCTAGTTGAACTTGCGGACCGTGTTCATCTCGGCGAGCATGTTCTCTGCTGAGCGATAACGGACGTCAAGGAGGAGCTTTGATTCTACGAGGGAGAGCGGCAACGGTCGTGGAAGACCGTGTTCCCTTTCTCGTAGAATCGAAGCTCTTCCGTGACCAAGTACGGTGCCGTCCGGTGGAGAAATGCTCGTCGAGATGATCACGTAGGCAAGTTCAACTAGTACGGATGGTTATTTATTCATATGTCCCGATATCGTCGCAGTAGTCTGTCAATCACCGTACCCAAACGTAGTATATATATAAATATAAACTTAGAAAATAGTTAGAAAATTATAGAAAATCCGTACTAGTTGAACTTGCGGACCGTTTTCATCTCAGTGAGCATGTTCTCTGCCGAGCGGTAACGGACGTCAAGGAGGAGCTTTGATTCTACGAGGGAGAGCCGCAATGGTCGTGGAAGACCGTGTTCCCTTCCTCGTAGAATCGGAGCTCTTCCTTGACCAAGTACGGTGTCGTCCGGTGGAGAAATGCTCGCCGAGATGATCACGTAAGCAAGGTCAACTAGTACGGATGGTTATTTATTCACATGTCCCGATATCGTCGCAGTAGTCTATCAATCACCGTATCCAAACGTAGTATATATATAAATATAAACTTAGAAAATAGTTAGAAAATTATAGAAAATCCATAATAGTTGAACTTGCGGACCGTGTTCATCTTGGCGAGCATGTTCTTTGCCGAGAGGTAACAGACGTCAAGGAGGAGCTTTGATTCTACGAGGGAGAGCGACAACGGTCGTGGAAGACCGTGTTCCCTTCCTCGTAGAATCGGAGCTCTTCCTTGACCAAGTACGGTGCCGTCCGGTGGAGAAATGCTCGCCGAGATGATCACGTAAGCAAGGTCAACTAGTACGGATGGTTATTTATTCACATGTCCTGATATCGTCGCAGTAGTCTGTCAATCACCGTACCCAAACGTAGTATATATATAAATATAAACTTAGAAAATAGTTAGAAAATTATAGAAAATCCGTACTAGTTGAACTTGCGGACCGTGTTCATCTCGGCGAGCATGTTCTCTGCCGAGTGGTAACGGACGTCAAGGAGGAGCTTTGATTCTACAAGGGAGAGCGGCAACGGTTGTGGAGGGTCCCAACAAGGATCGTATCTTCTATAAGTGTCCGGATCGCAATGTGAGTTATTTTATCGTATTTAATGATTATGGTTAGTTTATACCTATTTTTATGATGGTTGTGATTAAAGTTCTAATTTTTTGTTTTAATTTCAGTGGGATGGCAGTGGACGATGTTCAGGCTTCTACTGGGAGGAAGAGTATGTTGAACTCGTGCAAAAATATCTTGCACAACAGGCAGATACGGCGGCTAATGAGGCAGTGATCTAGCCGAAGAAGCCCAAAGATGTTGCACAATCGAGGGATCTGTCTGTTTTAGTTGAGATTGGTCACAAAATCCTTGTGCTCTTGAAATGTATTTTAGCTTTAGTTCTTTTAGTGGTAGTTGGGATTGTCTACATTGTAGCGATGCTTTCATAAATTTGTACCTTTTGTGGTGGCACACATGTTGTATAAATAATTAATTATGATCTAGGTTTTAATATGGTATTTATGTCATGTAACGCAGATGAGCCGGCATTGGATGTACAATGCTGATCGCCGCTCCCAAGAGTTCATTGACGGCGTGCATTCTTTGTTACGTGTGGCCGAGGCAAACAAACGCGACGGTTTCATGTGCTGCCCATGTGCCATATGTAAGAATACGGTGGAATTTCCTTGCTCAAGGACTCTTCATTCACACTTGTTCAAGTCGGGTTTCATGCCAAACTATATTTGTTGGACGAAGCATGAAGAAACCGGCGTTGTAATGGAAGAAGGTGAAGAAGAACAATGGGACGATAATGATATTATTCCCGATGGTGCGTGCTTCAATGATACTGCAATGGGAGAAGCTGAAGAAGAGGTAGCCACAGAAGATGAGCCTGCTGATGATCTTTGTCAGGTCATTCGTGACGCATAAAGAGAATGTGAAAGTGAAAAGGAGAAGATCAAGTTCGAGCGGATGCTAGAAGATCACAACAAATTGTTGTACCCAACTTGTGATGCAGGGCAGAAAAAGTTGGGAACCACACTAGAATTGCTGCAATGGAAGGCAAAGAATGGTGTATCTGACAAGGGATTTGGAGAGTTACTAAAAATCCAAAAGAAGATGCTTCCGAAGGACAATGAATTGCCCGCCACTACCTACGAAGCAAAACAAGTTGTCTGTCCTATGGGGCTAGAAATCGAGAAGATACATGCATATCCTAATGACTGCATCCTGTACCGTGGCAAAGAGTACGAGACATTGGATGCATGCCCGGTATGCCATGCATCGTGGTATAAGATCAGGCGAGATGACCCTGATGATGTTGAGGGCGAACGTCCGTAGAAGAAAATCCCTGCCAAGGTTATGTGGTATGCTCCTATAATACCATGCTTGAAACGTCTGTTCAGAAACAAAGAACATGCAAAATTGTTGCGATGGCACAAAGAAGACCGTAAGGTAGACAATATGTTGAGACACCCTGCTGATGGGTCCCAGTGGAGAGCAATCGACAGAGAATTCCCGGAGTTTGCAAATGACGCAAGAAACTTAAGGTTTGCTTTAAGTACAGATGGTATCAATCATTTTGGAGAGCAGAACAGTAGTCATAGCACTTGGCCTGTTACTCTAAGTATCTACAACATTCCTCCTTGGTTATGCATGAAGCGGAAGTTCATTATGATGCCTGTGCTCATCCAAGGCCCGAAGCAACCTGGCAATGACATCGATGTGTACCTGAGACCATTTATTGACGAACTTCTCATTTTGTGGAATAAAGAAGGTGTACGTGTGTGGGATGAGTACAAACAGGAATACTTTGATCTGCGAGCATTCTTGTTCGTAACAATCAATGATTGGTCTGCTCTAAGTAATCTTTCAGGACAGTCAAACAAGGGATATAATGCATGCACACACTGCTTCAGTGATATTAGAGGTGTATTCTTGAAAAAATGTCGAAAGGTCGTGTACCTTGGCCATCGTCAATTTCTTCCTGCAAATCACCCCGTAAGAAAGAAAGGCTAGCATTTTAAAGGGAAGGTAGACCACCTGACCAAGCCTCGCAACCAAACCGGTGAGGATGTACTCGATATGGTCAATGATGTGAAAGTCGTCTTTGGAAAAGGACATGGAAGCCAACCTGTTCTGAACGACCCTAACGGTCACACACCCATGTGGAAGAAGTCCATATTTTGGGACCTACCCTATTGGCAAGTCCTAGAGGTCCGCAGCTCGATCGACGTGATGCACCTAACGAAGAATCTTTGTGTGAACCTGCTAGGCTTCATGGGTGTGTATGGAAAGCCTAAGGACACATTTGAAGAACGACAGGACCTGCGTTGTTTGAGAGAAAGAGACAACCTGCATCCAGAGAAGACAGATGATGGACGCCATT